CAGAGGATGCTGTTGGCAGCTGGAGGAGCAGATTCCCGAGGCGCAGGGAGGAATTCTCAAGGCACGCAGCAGCACTCCATCCACAGCCAGGGGATTCATGGCCTCCTCGTGCCAGCCTCGAGGTCCCATAAGCCAGTGTAGGATCTCCCATGGAAGAGACTCACTGCTCCCACCCAATGACAGATTTTGGGGGCTAAGGGAGTCAGCACCTAGGGACCTGGGGGACAGAGACCTGGTGACAGCTTGTAGCACCCTGGGCAGGGCCCTGGGGGAACAATGCCCACCCACCAAGGGCCCCGAGCAGTGGCTGCACCTCCATAAATAACCCCCTGTGCTAGGGCAGCAGAGCCAGCAGTGGGCATGGGGCCACGGGCCTTTGTATTGTCATCATCCCCAGCGTGAGCAAGGGGACAGGTGGCAAGCGGTGACCCCTCTGCCATCCCAAACCTCCGCCAGTCCCCAGGACAGCTCCGGCCTCCCCCTCTCAAGCACCATGGAGACGGGCAGACAGGTTTTATTGCGGCAGTGAAAGGGCTGGCAGGGGCTGCAGGATGAGGTGCAGAGGGACCCCCCAGTGCAGGGCAGGGCACAGGTAGCATCTGGCCAAGTCAGCGCTGGGCATCCCTGGCGCTGTAAGAATATGTTTGATATTTAGTTGGTTTTCTAATAAAACAACCTAATATCAAACATATCAGACAGAGGCAGGGGCAGATGGAGGCAGGAGGAACCACAGCTCAGCTGCCTGCAAGAGAAAGAGAGAAGGAAAGGCTGAGAGCTTGGGGGGATGTGGTATCCAGGCATAACTCCTGGGGCACTGCGGAGGCAGCACCTGGCCTCACCGCAGTGCCTGGAGCCTGCCGGGCAAGTGCACCGGCACTGGGCTGCTCGGGATGCACTGCCAGAGCAGGAGGTGTCCTGCGGCTGGGATGAAGCTGAAGCAGGACAGTGCAGGCACAGTCTCCCAGCATGGCATGTCAGGGCAAGCCATGCCATGGACTGACACGGCACAGCATGCCATGGAAGGCCACGCTGCCCACCCGGGTCCAGGGGAAACCCACATCCATCACCGTCTTACCTGGGCTGGCTTGGGGGGCTCCGCAGTGCTCTGGCTCGGGGGTCGCCTGGCCGCTGTTTATAACCACACTGGGCTGCACCCGACGGGGGGATGCAGCCAGCGAGCGCCCCGGCCCTGCACACGTGGCCTCGTTCCCATTAATTACCACCCATTGACATCCCCCTGCCCCTCCGCGGACCGGTGCCGGTCAATGCGGTCGATGGCCCCGCATCGCCTGCTCCTGCCTCCGGCCACACTCCCCATCATTAGCAAGGCTGTCGATACCGGGGGCCAGCCCTGGCCTGCGGGCCCTGTGACACCTAGGGGCTGTGCACGACCCTGCCCAAGGACGGGCCCCATCAGCACAGGGGGGCTGTGCCCCACATCCCCTTGCTCTGGGAGAGCTGCTGGGACCCACAGGAGCGTCTCCTCCATGGGGCAGCTGGAGGGGCTGTCACCCCACCCCACCCGTGTTGGGGATGTGACCCCTCTCATGCTGTGTGACAGAGGCAGCACCCTGCCCCACACTGGGGTGGCCACTGGGACCTGGGGGGTGACATCCAGCCACAAGGGCACACGGGGTGTCTTGGGGTGCTGGAGGCATGTGTCTCCCCACACCACAGCGGTGCTTTGCTGTAGCAGGATGCACCAATTTTGGGAATGGTGTTGGAGGCTCTGTGGGGGCCCAAGCTTTGGGTGATCAGTGGGCCAGGATGTGGGACAACCAGAGAGCCCTGAGTGCCATGGGGAGGACAGGGGCACAGCCTGGGCTGGGGAGTCAGGGGCTCTGGCCCCACGGGGTGGCCGCAAGGTGAGGTGGCAGTGGGGACAGCAGGGACACACGTGGCGGCAGCGGTGCCAGAGCCGGGGGCGCGCGTGCGGCAGCAGCTGATGTGATGCAGCCCGACAGCTGAGCTAATGAAGGGCTGTGGGTGGGGGGTGCTGGCCCAGCGGCCCCCAGCCCTGTCAATAAGCAGAGCCAGGGCAGGCACTGATGGGCCCTGGGGCTGGGAGACACCAAGGTCGGGCACAGGCAGCAGGGACAGGAGGCCAGGGACAGGTCCCCCCCAGCTGGGAGCAGACAGGGGTCTGGGGGCACCTCAATGTGGGGACAGGGAGCATCACACCCAGCCCAGCCAGGCTTCTCTCCCTGCTGCTGCAGGGCTGTGCCACATGGCCAGGAGCACCGTGGCGCGCGACAGGGCACGGCGGGACCTGTGCTAGGAGTGGGACCCAGCGCGGAGCACCGGGGCTGGCAAGGCATGCTGGCCGTGCTGCCATCTCCTGGCACAGCCACGGACAGGACCAAGTGTGCAGGGTGCAACCCGTGGAGGGTTGCAGGCAACATGTCTGAACCCCAGCCACAGGAATCGTGATGAGCTGCATCTTCCCCCCGCCACTGCCCCAGGCTGTCCCACACCCCACATGCAGCAGACACAGCCCCCATTTTGCTCAACATGTTTTATTCCCAGCCAGAAGCCAGGGGATGCCAGGCCAGTGCTGCGCTGGGCTGAGCACTCAGAGCCGCTCTACATAGAAGGCTTTCCCCAGCCGGCTCAGCTCCTGCCGGTGCTGCTGATGCTCATCCTGGAAGAGTTGGTACAGGGCATCTTGGCGGATCTGCTGGGCACAGGGGCTGTGCTGAACCTCCGCGTCACCCTGGCTCACCAGTGCTGGGGGACACTGTCCCCTAGAACGTGGTGGAGCAGGACGAGGGGGCCATCCCAACCACCCACAGCAGCACAGCGCTGGGAGGACCCAGCTGCATCCAACCAATGCCAGGCCTCACCGCTGCCTGCTCCCTGCCCGCAAGATGCAGCTCCAACTCCACGCGCCGCTTCAGCCGTGACTCCATGATCCACTGCAGCACCCCGTGGGCTGAGGCCCAGCACCGTGGGTGCTCCCTGGGCCCCTGCCCACAGCTGTGGAGACAGAGAGTGGGCAGGCCGGGGATGTCTCCCCCATCACCCACGGACCCCCAGCATGGGGGGTTTGGCCCCTAGGGCTCTTTGCCAGCTCTACCTCTCCAGCAGCCCTGTGCCAGCACTCCCCTTCTCCTGGACCTGCAACCAAAGAGCACGTTTGTGGGGTCTAGGGTTTAACCTGCACCAAGGGACACGGCACCCCACTGTCTCCACTTGCTCCCAGGAGCCCAAGGACAGCTCCCACCTTCCCAGCCCCTGCCCTGTCCAACCTTCTCCCCCTGCAGGGAGCAGCTCTGGCTGTTTGGCACTGCCATAGCTGGTGCCACAGGGACCCTGCAACTGCCCTCTACACGGGCCACACCCATTGGATACCCTGGCAGTAAGGCAGCCTGGTTACCATGGCAGTAACGGCAGCCTGTTACAGCATTCCAGTTACTGGAATGGTGTCATCCTGGTTACCATAACTGCATGCCGGTTACTGTAACGGCATCCCAACTACCACAGCTGTAATGGCAGCAACCTGGCCACCATAAACAGCATCCTGGTTACCTTCGTAGCAGCACCTTGGAGGGACACAGCCCCGGATCCAGCAGCAACGGGCCCCTGCAGTCAGAGGCTGGTGGCACGCAATCTGCTCAGGCTAAACTGTCATTTTATTAAACATAATTAAAAAGTGCCGAGGCCTATGCGAGGTCTGTGCCCTCCACCCTGTGCTGCCCGTGCCGTGGTGACGGGTGAGCTGCCAGCGCTGCCCTCGGCCTGGCAGACGCAGACTCAAGGTGGGGGCTGCAAGCTCTCGGCCCTGGGGGCTCAGCAGCTGCTGGCACGCGAGGCGCTGGTGAGAGTGGGAGCAAACACCCCCTTGGCAGGACAGACGGGACACTTGATGCTGGTTTGTCCTCTCAAGGCATCCCCAAATGCCCAGTTGCAGTAGAATGAGTAGAAACTGCAGCCTGAAGCAGCAGCTTGGCTGCGGTGCTGAGAACGGGCACCAAACTATTTACACCCCAGCTGGGCACACAGGCAGGCTGGGCACACAGGGCTGACAGCAGGAACAACAGGGACACGGGGAAAAGTGTTCACCCTTGAGAAAGGACAGACAGGTGGCTCCAGAGCCCAAGACCCACACGGACAGAACGGACAGACATCAGTTCCCGCCAGCTGCTGTGGCGAAGGACGGGCAGAGGGGGGTGCTGGCTGGGATCCGTGTCTTTATAAATAAGATCAAGCTAATCAGTTTATTCACAGGGTCCAAGACGGTGCAGGACTCAAAGCCTGGAGTGTCACGAGCCTGTGGCAGAGGAGGTTGTAGAGCAGGCAGGTACACTGCTCTGGAATGGGCTTCTGGCAAGGGCCGAGTTCCAGCAGTCGGAACGGAGATGTGGTGTGAAGGGGAGATCTGAGAGCGCAGCTGCTTCCTCCCAGTGCTGCCTGCACACGCACTGCACCAGGCCCCACGTGCTCACAGGGTGCTCTCCAGTGTGTTGTAGTTGTCCTTGAAGCTCTTCAGCTCCAGGAAGTGTTTGGCACGTTTGCTCTTCTGGCTGGAAGGCAGGTAGGTGACCTGGATGGTGGTGGGGTTGGAGACTTCAGGGGACAGGGTGAGGTCCTTTGCTGCTGACTGGTGCTGCCGCTGGCTGCTGCCCCCCCGGGCCTTGGTGCTGTGGGCAGAGAAGAGGCACCGTCACCACTGCCGCCGCCCCAGAGGAGCCACTCAGCTGCGCGTCCGTCTGTCCGACATGAGGCAACTCTGCCCTCAGGGTGACGGCGCTCACTGAGGTCTTGAAATCTAAGGCCAGTGGTCATGCACAAAGCCCTGGCTCAAAGTGCCAGGGACAAGCAGGAATGTGGACTGTGACCATGGAACAAACCCAAAACTCCATTAACAGGCAGGTTGCAAGGAGGGAGTGAACTCAGAGGCACGGACGGGCACAAACAGCCCCAGTCTCGGACGCTGGATGTGCCCCAAAACCTGTCTCTGTTCACACCTCCCCCGTGGGCTGCTATGGACCAGGAACCCACCACCGTGCCCGGGCAGCAGCACTTACATGTTCGCCAGCTCGTTCAGAGCCTCCTGGTACTTCAGATATTCTGCTTTCCCAAAGACCTGGATACAAACGGAAAAGATCACGGAAAACCCAGCTGAGGTTACAGTGTGACCTCAGCCCCGGCAGCCAGGCTGGAGCACAGGAACAGCCCCACACTGCTGTGGGGATGCAGCCAGGCTGGAGCACAGGAAGAGAAGGATGAAGCCAGGCCACAGGAACAAGGGATGCAGCCAGGGCGGAGCACAGGAACACCTCACAGGGCCGGCAATGCCACACCAGCACTCACCCCAGTGCCATAGCGGGCACTCTCGTACCCATCCAGCAAGGTGTCGATCAAGGCTTTGCGGATGCCTTTGAAGGAGGCGCTGGAATTCCGTAGTTCCAGCAGGTAGGCACAGAAGTTCTTCCCTATTAAAGACTTTGGGTACCGGCCCTCTGCTTGAAATGGGATTTCTGTAAAAAGGCACAACACAACTGGCTGAAGCACAGGTGGAAACGCTTGTGCTCACCCCCACAGTCAGGAGCTGCTGGCTGGATAAACTTCCCTCCACACCTGCTGCCCCTGTTTGCCGGATGACCCCAGAGCACGGGGCAGGCTGACCCTCAGGCCACCAGCCCTGGGCGGGAGAAATGACTGCTGCTCTCCAGCGAGGACCTGGAGCCTCCCCACAGGACTGTTGACACCCTCATCTCCCTCAGTCAGGGTCTCTCTGCACCCTCCTGCTCCGAGCTCCCTTACCTGATGTCCTGATTGCATCCAGTGCCTTCATCCTGTACAGGTAGTTATAGCAGCCTGGGAAACGGGAAAGAACAAACTGAGAGCTCTGCAAACCTTGGAGGGAGGCGGAGAAAGGGAAAACAGGAGCAGAGACACCATCTCGTGTGACAGGACACCAACGTGAGCAGCCAAAGATGCAACTTGGCCCCAGGGGAACAACAGCTGTGGGACAGTACCTGGTGTCTCCAACTGCAGGAGCCGGCCATCGTCCTCAGCCAGCAGCCGTGGTTCGTACTTGATGTCCTGTACCCTTGATAGTCGAATGTCAATCTCCTCCTTTAAATCCTGCACAGCAGGAAAAAACCCGACACGTTCACTTAGATTGTGGGATCACAAGGATAAGAACAGGCCTTACACAAACCGATCCCTCCCCACTGCCCCACTGCTACTCCGTGGTGGCAGCTCTGCTGCTGGAGCAGCCCCTGCCCGTCCGTCCCTCAGAGCACAGGGGATGGAGTGCACCCACCTTGGGCGCATGCTGTCCCACAGGCACGTGGGGGCCGCGGCGGGATTTCATGGCGAAGCGCATGATCTGGCGCTTCACGAAGATGAACAGCAGCACGAACACCTAAGGAGCCACAGCGGGGCGGGGGGTCAAGCATGAGCCGGGGGGTGTCACAGATAACCCAGCCCACCGACTCCCCCTTCTCAGCCCTCCAACGCCAGCGGGCACAAGGGTCTCGCTTCAGTCCGCCGGGAGCCTCGCGGACACCCGGCCCGGCCCCACAGACCCCCAGCCTCCACAGAGGCTCCCACCCACGTCCTCCCCCCGCCCTACCGACGCCAGGAGCTTACAGGCGGTCCAGCCCAGGCCCCTGAGGGCCCCGAGCCAGGCTCCGAGGGGTTCCCCAAAAACAGCCCGAGACCTGCCTGACGGGCGCGTTACGGACTCCACGGGAGTCTCGTGGACACGCCGGGAGCGGCCTCACCGGGGCCGCACGGACATGAGCGGCCCGGCTCCGCGGACACGCCCGGAACGCCCCGCACGGGCACGCCAGCCCCGCGTCGGCCCCAGCCCACCCCGCCGGCCCTCACCAGGCTGCCGTAGGCCATGACCAGCACCACGTTGACCCCCGAGAGCCAGTTGCTGCCGGCCCCCGCCATGCCCGGCCTGGCCCGGGGCCGCACAACATGGCGGCCGCGAACCCGCCCTGCGGCTCGCGGCACGTGACCGAGGAGGAGGAGAGGGGGGAGCCGCGGTCACGTGTCCCCGCGCGGCGCCAGCGCAGCGCGCGCGGCCCCTCCCCGCGCGGTCACGTGCCGGGGGCGGGGCCGGGGGAGTTGTCAGTGCGGGCGGACCCAGGTAAAGTTGCGGCGGCGGCGGCTCCGGTACCGCGCGGCCCCCGAACCCGCCCCCTCCCCGCCGGGCACCCCCCCGCCGCTACCCTACGGCCCGCCCGGCCCTTCCGCCGCCACCGTCGCCCCACGGCCCGCCCGGCCCCGCCGCGCTCCGGAGGCGGCTCCGCGCCCCGGCGCCGCCGCTGGGCCCCGCGCGGCCTAGTGGGCCGGGCCGCGGCCGGGGGCTGGCGTAGCGCGCGCGGCCGCCGCAGGTGAGGCGGGCGGGCGGGCCGGGTGCAGGCGGGCCGGGTGCGGGCAGGCGGGCGGCAGGGGGGGGGTGAAATGGCGGCCGCGGCCATGAGGGCGGAAGCGGCCCGAACTCGCCCGCCTCCCTGGTGCGGGCCCGGCCTGGCGCCGCCGCGGGGGCTCCCGCCCCGGCCCCGCCGGCGCCCTCCGGTTCGCTCCGGCCGTTCGGCCCCCATTGTGCGCCGCGGGGTCGGGCGGCTCCGGGCCCTGCCGCGCTCCTGCGGCCCGCCCGGCCCCGCCGGTGCCGACGGTAACAATGGGAGCCCGAGCTCCCGCCCCGCCGGGCTCCTCACGGGCCGCCGGGCCCGCTGCCGGCACCGCTCCTCGGTGGCGCCCCGGGGGCCGTGGCCGGGGTGGGCCCCGCGGCCCACGGGAAATCCGCGGGCGACGCCGGTCCGGGGGTCCTAGAGGAGCCCCGGCCCGCGAGCGCGGCCCGCCCTCCAGGTCCCTCCATTCCGGTCGGGGGGCTCTGCCTGCGCCCTCCGACCGGAGAGTCTCCCCGGTAAAGCGCTGCCCATCGGTACCACCACGGGGTCTCTGGTGGCATGTCCGGGGGTATCTCCCCAAAAGTTCGTGCACTGCACGTGCGGGGGGTGACTCGGTCTGCAGCTGCCATGTTTTTGCTCCGGGGGAAAAACTCTCACACCGTTAACCCTCTTTTGGGTGCTTGTTCTGCCTCACAGTGTGGGAAAATCTTTCCAAATGCTCTTTGCCCTCTCTGGTCCTTTTCTCTGGGGCTTCGGAGCCTTCTGCAGTTGTTAATTAAGCGTTGTTGGAATGGGCTGGAAATACCAATTTTTCTGTATTTAACAGATAAGGGAAACTGCTGAGGCTGGGATGTGCCAGGACTCGCCCAGTGGCAGCCAGCAGATCTGGCACAGCCATGGGACCCGCAGATCCTGGTTCTGAATCTGTAACTTACCTGATGTTTCTAATAAAATGAAGTTTGTTACATTTTTGTATCCCCTCTTCTTCTGGAGACTCCACACTTCACCTGTGTAGCTGAGGCTCTCCTCCCTAGGCCTGGCAGGCGGGCAGTGGTGTGGTCTGAGAAGGAAAAGGGGTAACAGCCAAGCACGTCACGTTTGATGCAGTGTCTTTGAGCAGAGGGTGTTGTAGCCTGTAGTTTTGTTTTCCCTAAGCCCTGTCCGAGGGCAACACTGGCCCATTGACCTGTAGCTGCCCCCTTTAATGCCAGTGCTGTGGTGTGGACTGGCTTTTGGTGAGGACAGCTCCAAACTGGAAAACTCTGTGCAGGTGTCAGAATAACCATGTTCCATGATTCAGTGCTGCCCCTAAGCCAGGCTCAAGTTCCCCCACTGAGGAATAAGTTATCACTAGCCAAATTTCTCTTTCCTTAAGGCAGCTGTGGAGTCTGCATGGGGGCACTCCCTCACCTGACAGCCTTGGCAGGGTCAGGACCTGGCTGAGATTTCTATTGTAGATGTTTTTTGCATGTTAGAGGACCCAAACACTGGTGTTACTTGTGGCAGTGATGGCAGCTGGGCAGAGCAGAGCGTGGCAGCTGCTGAACAAAATGCCTGGGTGCTGCACAAGGTTTGAACTCAGCCTGCTGGAACTGTGGCCCAGGGGAGCTGCAGGTTGGGTTCCTGTGGACATGCAGGATCGCTTCCCTCTGCTGCCAGGTTGGTTTAATATGACAAATTGTGCACGGAGCTTGAAGCTGGAGGAGACATAGCGATGGTGAGCAAAAATAAATAACGTGGGGGAGAAGCCTGCACGGAGGGGATGGCTGGGGGCTGTCTGCTTCCACCTCGGGGTGCTCTTCCCCCACAGCTTGGGGTCTCCTGATGGCCGCACAGGTGGCTTGGATCATTTCCTGATAAGAGACCTTGGCACTGTATAGTAGGAAAACTGTAGTATTAAGTTGCCATGAGGTGTGGGTGACTACAAAGGGGGGATTTCAGGGGTTTTGTTGGGAACTGTGGGAGCAATGGCACAAAAACTTGCCTATGGAGAAATGCTAGGCACAGGGGGTATGCATCCAGTGCAGGGCAATATTGGGGTCTCCCTGCTCTCAGGAAGCATTTCTCTCCCAGTCGGGTGCTTGCAGACTTCCACAGGAGATTCCCCAGTGTTTCCTGGGGTGTTTGCTAATGCTGCTGCTGAGCTTCCCTGCCTGGCACACCAGGTCTCTCCCTGTGCTGCCCTACCCGTGTGCACAGGTCGGATTGTCCCACTCACCTTTCCTCCCTGCTCTCATGCTCCATCCATGGCTCCTTCCCCTGTCCCAGGCGCCTGGAGCAGGCCCTGCTGCTTTGGGGGAAGGCTTCACGCTCTTGGTAATGAAATACAAAACTGTGAGTTCTGTGATTACTGAAATTTCGGGGGCTTGGAAGTTGTGAGTCCTGCCAAGTGCCATGGGATGTCACTGGCATTCCTTGTGCCTGGAAGGCGCTAGGCAGGGTAAAACGACTCAGTGCCAATCCCCTTCTAAACCACCTCCCCTCACCTCTAGCTTGAGCTCTGCCCTGAGGCCCAGTGTGAGGTTAGAAAACTCCACTTGCTTTGGACGCTCATTGGCCTGAACTCTTTCTGGGATTTTTTGCCTCAAGCAGTTATCTAATGATGTTACTGGCTGTTCCTGGCTGACATCTAGTTCACTTTTTGGTATGTTTTTAGTCTAGAAAACTTAGTATTTCCAGTTTGGGGGAATAACTGAAGCGTGCAAAAATAGGCAGTTCTGCAAGGGCAGGTTTTCTTTAAAAAAAAAAATTCCATAGGCCTGTAGCACCACTTGTTCCTGGAGTGTTTTTGCTTCCCCTGCCCTACTTTGAAGGCAAGAAAGGAGAAGGGGAAGTAGTTGAAGTGTCTGAGGCTCTGAGATGCTCTGTTCTCCAAGTGAAGTTTATTTGGTGCTTTCTTCAAGCATTCCTGCTCCATTTGATGGCCACAGACTCACCATGAGCTCATGGCAAATCCGTGCTCGCTCACACATGTGTTTCAACAGCAAGTCATTAAACCCTTTGCCCCAAGTCCGGGAAATGGCTTCAAACTGAAGGAGGGTTGATCTAGATTAGCGAAGGAAGAGGTTTTTTTACAATGAGGGTGGTGAGACCCTGGCACAGGTTGCCCAGAGAAGCTGTGGCTGCCCCATCCCTGTAAGTGTCCGAGGCCAGGCTGGACGGGGCTCGGAGCAATCTGGGCTAGTGGAACACGTCCCTGCCCATGGCAGGAGGTGGGACTGGATGAGCTTTAAGGTGCCTTTCAACCCAAACCGCTCTGACTCTGTGAGTCTACTTCTTGCTCCCATGTGGATGCAGGAAATGTTTCATTTGGAACAACCTGCCATGGAATTGGCAGAGAAACCTCGAGAAGTGCAAGTGGCTGTTTTGTGCTGGGAGCACATGGTGATGGTAACCTGGCCTGCCATGGTTTTAGGGAAGTGGTGGGGGGAGGGTGGGGGCCTGCAACGGGTGTTCTGGCTGTGTTGCCCGTACGATTGTTCAGTCCTGGTGCTGCCTTTTGGTTTTGGTTTCTAACAGTCTGTTCTCTCTTCTCCCCGACCCACCACAGAGTTCTACCTTGTAAATACTGTTATTTGTATATACTGTAAATGATGACATCGGTGGGCACTAACCGAACCCGGGGGAACTGGGAGCAGACACAGACACAGAGCCAGATGCAGCACAAGCAGCGGCCGCAGGTAAGGGCAGTGTCCATGGAAACCAGGTAGCTTAGAGGTGGAGACCTGGCTCTCCTGCTTGGCCTGGTGCTAATGGGCAGTTCTTCTTTGCCTAAGAACTGCCAGAGCCAGGTTAATTGGGCAGCCACTGACGCTGGTGTTTGTGTCAGTGTCTCCGAGTGGGACCCGACGCTGAGATTTGGTTTTGTTTCCGTCTGACTGTTCCCTCCTCACTTTAGTGAATGCAAGTGGCTGAGAAGCTGCCTGCAGTGGGTCTTGGTGTTCTGGTGATGGTAAGGTTTGCCCCAAAACAGAAGTGGTTCAGGTGGCTGCTGCTCCCCTGGTGTCATAAGGCCAACCAGCAGTACTTCCCTTTCTTTCAGACTCCCCTTGTTCCTTTTTCATCTCACTTTCCCCCTGGACCTGTCCTTTTCTGACCCTTGTTTGCACCTTTTCTTTACCATACTGATTCCTTTCCAGAGATCTCAGGGAAGTAGAATGGCCTTTGGAGGACAGTTTGGAAATGGGCTGCTCTGACCATGCTCTCTCTATCCATCTGATTTCTTTAGGCCACTGCGGAACAGATTCGACTGGCACAGATGATTTCGGACCACAACGATGCTGACTTTGAGGAGAAGGTGAAACAAGTGAGTGTGGAAAGTGAAGATGAACCCTGACGGGGAGGCAAGATCAATACTGGAAGGACTGTGAATGCTGAGGGGGTGGGAGGGACACATCTGGCTGCTTCCTGAATTTCCTTGGACTGGTTTCACAGACTTGTGTCATAGAATGATTTGGGTCAGAAAGGACCTTTGTGCCATAGGGACACCTTCCACTCGACCAGATTGTTCCAAGCCCTCTGCAACCTGGCCTTGAACACTTCCCGGGATGGGGCAGCCACAGCTTCTCTGGGCAACCTGTGCCAGGGCCTCACCACCCTCCCAGGGAAGAATTCCTTCCCAATATCCAACCTACCTTTGGCAGTGGGAAGCCATTTCCCCTTGGTTCTGTCACTCCGGACCCTTGTCTAAAGTCCGTCTCCAACTCTCTTGGAGCCCCTTTCAGCACTGGAAGGGGCTCCAAGGTTTCCCTGGAACCTTCTCTTCTCCAGCCTGAACACCCATGGCTCTCCCAGCCTGTGTCCAGAGCAGAGGGGCTCCAGCCCTCGGAGCACCTCTGTGGCCTCCTCTGGTCCTGCCCCAGCAGCTCCACATCCTTCCTGTGCTGGGGAGCCCCAGAGCTGGAGGCAGCACCCAGGTGGGGTCTTACCTGAGCAAAGCAGAGGGGTAGAATCCCCCCCTTCACGTACTGCCCACGCTGTGGGGATGAGCCCGGTCCAGTGTTGGCTTTCTGGGCTCCCAGTGCACATTGCCAGGTCATGTTAACCCACATCTCCTCCTCCTCCTCCTCTGGGCTGCTCTCCATCCATTCTTCCCCAGCTTGTGTTTGTGCTTGGGGTTGCCCCGATGCAGGAGCAGCACCTTTTGCCTTGCTGAATTTCCGGTTTGTTCCCACAGGTGACAGTGTTGTACTGAGAAAAGGGGGTTATAGGTTGGGTCATGGTGAAACAGTGGTAACTTTCACACCCTCAGTTACTCCTCATTGAGGGACACAGTTAAGCTGAGAAGGCTGGGGAGACTTACAAGCCCTGATTTTTTTTTTTTTAAGGATTTCTGGTTTGGGATTCAACTTGCCTCCTGAGAGACCCATAGACATTTTGGTGCCATCTTAGTTTGGAACATGTTGACTGTGGTGTTGTCTTCTTTACAGCTGATTGACATCACAGGCAAGAACCAGGACGAGTGTGTGATTGCTCTGCATGACTGCAACGGGGATGTCAACAGAGCCATCAATGTGCTGCTGGAGGGCAATCCAGACACGGTAGGATTGGGGCCTGTAAATCTGGTGAGGCCTAGCTCAGTGTCACTGCACATTTGCAGGTGAGGCATCCTGTAATGTCAAGATAAGGAGAGCCACGACTGACTAGTTCCACAGGAGCATGCAAGGCGTGACTGTGACCTGACTGCTGAACGCTGCTCTCCGTGGCCTTGCACAGACTGTGAGCTTAGCCCTAGGCTCAAAGGAATAGAGGGGGAAATGCAATAAGTCATTTCCTTCCTATTCATTTTGAATCCGAGCAGTTTGACAACAGTGCAGTGGCATCTGTACGTGCTTTCACACCACTGAGTGTGAAGGAACGTACCTTTTCCCTATCAGGGCTGTGTGACCTGTGTTGAAAGGCAGGTATGTGTCAGGTCCTTTCTGTCAGAGTAACATAGTTTTTTTGTCTCTGCCCCTAAACACTTCTCAGCAATGTCCTGACTGGTTTGTGTGCTGCTGACCATGCCACGGTTTTGAGGGTCTTTTCGCGGTTTGTTTTCTGTGGAATCGGGCTTGGCTGCTGTCCTTCACACAGGTGCCTCTCTCAAGCAAGCCGAGGTCAGCTCCGAGAACAAGTGAGCGCTTGTTTAAGAGGAACCTTCTGCCTGTATGTGGGGCGTCATTCCTTCTGTGGTATAGATGGCAGATTTGCAAGTTCTCTTACAGCCCAGAAAAAAGCCTATGAGTATCAGATCCTCCCAAACTGCCACTGATCACAGGTATCCTCCTGGCACCCTGGTTTGGCTGGAGCCGACTCAACTCCTTGTAGAGTTGAGGCTCTGAATATCACTTCTCAATATTATCTATTAGCTCATTTTTTTCCCCTGTGATGAACCCTTGGGGACAGGTGAGTGAGCTGGATGCCTCAGACTATGTTATGTGTATCACAGCTGCTTCCCAGTGTCAGGTGCTCTGCTTTGGCACCAGCCAAGTTCCATACAGTGCACGTACCCATTCCTCCTTGTCTTTAGAGAGCCCTTGCCATTGACAACTGATCAAAAGATCTATTAGAAAAGCTTTTTAGAGAGGGAAATAATATGGATGTGCATTGCTGAGGCATAGTTCTGCCATGATTGTATTTTTCTCCAGATCTCTTGTAACCCGTGACTTCTAGTCAGAGAACAAACCTCTGCCATCACAGCGATTTAATTTCCTAGAGAAACGCATTGCTCAGGATAGCAGCATCCAGGACAGGGTTCAGCACCCGGCGTTGTGGAGCAGCACTTCCTTTATGGGAGCAGCTGAGAGGCCCAGCAGCACAAGGTGTGCAGGGCAGGGTGTGGAGAGGCAGGCAGGGAGCAGGTGGAGAAAGCCCTAGGCTGCCACTGGTCCAGCCCTGTGGCCCTGCAGCTGCCACATCGCTGAGCACAGGCAGCCCCTGCGCTGCCATTGGTCAAGTGTCTTGGAGCTGCTTCTGGCCTGAATTCAGCTTGTGCAGCAATCCTGGAAAGGGAATTTTTGGAGAGAAAACAGCCCTGCTAATTGCTTGGGTGCACTGGTGCTGATGAGGACAGCTTGCCTGCTGAGCTAGTTACTGGTAATGTATTTGAAACAGTAAAGGAGCAGACGTTACCTTAGAATTGGATTAGGTTCGGTTTAAATTACAGTATGCCAAGTAAACATTTCCCAAGTAAACATTTTTGTAAGTTTTCTTTAGAGCAAGATACCTATGGAGAGAGACTTTGGGAGCCTTGGGTTTGATGGCAGTTTGTGCCACTATGTTGTTGGGTGTTTTGTCGTTGTCCCTGCATGCTGCCATCCAAAACCAGCTGTTGACTTGCCTGCCAGTTGTGTTTTCAGGTGATTGTCAATGACTTGTGACTATTTTTAATTGTTTCACCAGCATGCAGCATCGGTTTAAGAGTATGAAACTGCTGCAGACTGTCATAAAATAAATGAGTGCAGGCCCATGGTAGTGAGCTGGAGGCACGCTTAACTTTTTACAGTTGAACTTGAGATGAGTTGAATTCTGTGATGCTTCTCTCCCATCTGAGCTGCTGTTTCGGGAGGGGTTTTGTTAATCACTCTGCATGTGAGAGAAGAACTTACTCCAAAACGTTGACTGCAGAGCACTATGGAACATTTACCTGGGTTATTCTGAGAGCTCTTGGTCATCTGTGTGAAATGGCAGGGTTTTTTCCCCTAAACAAGGTAAATTTATCCATGCTTTCAGCTCTGGAAATATCATGCCCTCTCTACTGAAGAATTTTAGTGCAGAAATAGAAAAAGTTGTCTCCTGTTACTTCAAACTGCATGCCAGTCAGCTGTGAAAAAACTTTCCTTGAAGGAAGAAGCTATGCTGTGTGTAGACTCCTCAAATAAAAAATTGGTCTGGAAACCATTTCTTCAGAGACTCTTGTTATATACTCTGTAGCATGTTTAAATCTCTGTGTATTTGCATCTTGCATTGATAAAGCTATGATTAATTTCTTTCCCCTCTGCAAACCTTCAGCATTCCTGGGAAATGGTCGGGAAGAAGAAGGGTGTCTCAGGACAGAAGGAGAGTGGACAGACAGAGCCCAGTGAAGAAAGCAAAGAAAACCGGGAGCGGGAGCGGGATTTCAGCAGACGACGTGGCGGGCCACCCAGGCGGGGGCGAGGTGCCAGCCGTGGAAGAGAGTGTATGGACCTGCCCTTTCATAACCCCCAAAACTCTCCCACTGAAGCACTTAGTGCTGTGTAACAGCTGTCTGTAAAGCTTCTCAAGCAGGCACATCTGTGAGGAAAACCATTCGTGTGTGTGTGTGTGGATCTGATGCGTTCTCACTACCATCAGATTAAATCAAAAGTTCTGGGAGCCTGTGGTGACGTGGTCCCCTGTACAGCCACTGCACTTTGGGGTTTGAGGTCTGGTCTTGTACCCCCACTAAAGGAGAATGAGTCTTGAAATTGTCTTTGCATTGTTTTGTCTTTCAGTTCGGGGCCAGGAGAATGGACTAGACGGTGGGAAGAGTGGAGGATCTTCTGGAAGAGGCACAGAAAGAGGGAGACGGGGACGTGGCCGAGGCCGAGGTACACATGGGGTTTGGGGTCCGAGGGGGTGGGAGGAGAAGAATGGCAGCAGTGTATCTATCTCCCATGAGGTTCCAAAGCCTCTTTTATGGGAGGAATTGCCAAACTGAAAATACACGCTTTAATTTTCCTGTCCTTGTGCTTATCGGTAGTGTTTACATGTTGCTTCCCCATCCTAAGCATGCTAGAAACATCACCTAGTTCTTGCATCCCATCTGTGGAGTTAGAACAAAAATTGAGCTTTGTTACAGAGGCGGGAAGTTAAAAAACCCAAGATGACTATTTGGCAGGTGGGTCAATGGCTTGTTAGCAACAGAACCTGCATCCTTGTTCTTACATGTGTGTCTGAGCACCATCACTGGCTTGAGCTTTAAATACTTGGTGCAGAAATTTAATTTTTCCACAAAATCTGCTGCTCAGAAATTGTTGCTGAGGTCACACCCTGCAAAAATCAGAACCTGGGATTCAGTACTTATGGTTTGTGCCAGCTGGAAACCTTATCTGAGCCTGGAATCATGCATTGCTAATCATGCTACCAGCCAGCTGAGGTCATTCCCATCTGTCTAAAGACGTTGCTGGAAATCCCATCAACTCAGGAAGGTCCTCTCCACTTCCATATTCTGGGCATCAGAACTCTATATGTTGTTCGAGTGTTTCTTTTTCCAGTGACATAGAGCCAAGAGATGCTCAGAAGTGCCTATGTCTGTGTATTTACAGGTGGCTCTGGACGGCGAGGGGGAAGATTTTCTGCCCAAGGCATGGGGTAAGTTTCACTGGCACAAACCACAGCAAAGATAAGTCTGTGCATGAATAGTACTGTTTGTGTCAGTCATTTGTGTTCCCATTTTTTTTTTTTTTTTGTTAATAAGGCCCAAACTGCATCATGCTAACTTAGATTTGGGGGTGGCTAGCATAGCTGAAGCATCCCTGTGCTGAAAGAACTGCCTTGTGAGACTCTGAATAACATCCGTTGCTTTCAAAATGTTTAGCCAAAGAGAGAGTGAACATTTCCGTCTTTGTATTTCTTATAGAACTTTCAACCCTGCTGACTATGCTGAGCCAGCCAGCACAGATGAGAACTATGGGAATAGCAACAACAACACGTGGAACAACACTGGGAGCTTTGAGCCGGACGATGGCACAAGTAAGTGTCAAACGCACATGTGCTGGTTTGTGTTGAGAGGGTGAGTGGATTTTGCATACATCCAGTTGCACTGAGGAGGTTCTGGGCAGGTCTTAGGCTCAGGGATGGAGGAATGGGTTGTTAGTTCAGAGACGAATTTCAGTGACCCTAATTCTTTGCACCTTTGCACATGTTTTGATGATTGCCCTGGAAATGGGGAGCTGGATGATTGCTGTGGGGTGCACGACAGAGGCACAGGAACATTCACCTCTGTTTTCCAGTAGAAACCATGCTACTGTTTGGAAAAGGGGTTTTTTTATAAACTGTAGTGTATTAAACAGGTCCAAGTTCTCCTGATGTTAGGTGCATCCTCCAGAGAATATTACTTGGAGTCAAATGTCTTGCTCTTGATTTTGGTACTAGGAACATTCTCTCTTTCATGGTCACCTTGCTCAAACTGCAGTGGGGCGAGACTTTGTTACAGAAACAAGATGAAAGGAATCTGACCTCCTTCCCTTTTTTGAAGCCAGCATGTGTTCGGTGGATGGTTCTGAACACCTAGCTGCCCCTGCACGTTCTCCTGCATTGGAAAACTGGTGCCCTGGGATTTGTTTCACATACACGCAGTATCGTGAGATACAGCAAACTCAGATTTTGCAGTGTGAGAATGGGGCAGTTGCAGGGGACAGTCCTTGACCATAAGTAGCCTGTTTGTGGAGTGAGTTTCAGAGTGGTTTGGTTGGCTTTTTTATGGAGCAGTCTTGCCCCACTATGAAGTCAAACTGTTTTTCCACAATTTCTGAGTATTCAAGTAAATACCACATACTTGGGTGTAAGAAGCATTCACACCTATGTTGATGGTGCTTTTGGCCACCTCTGTATTGCTCGCATTAGCTGAAAAACTGATAGCTTTGGAAGGAGAGAATTAAAGTCCTGTAAACTGGGATACCTTTTACTGAACATTGTTAGTGTCAGGGAGGGGGTGGGAGCTTGTTTGTGTGTATTTTGGTGGGTTTTGTTTGGGTTTTGTTTTTTTTGTTTGTTTGGATTTTTTTCACAAAACAGAGCTGTGGAAGGGGGAAAAAATAAGCCTGTGAGCAGATTGAGTGATCATCTTGGCAGTTGAAAAAGGGTTTTAAATACCGGAGGGAATAGTGTGGGCATGTGTTGAGGGCAGTGGGTACACTTGGCTCCGCAGGAAAAGGGATGGGAGTGGACAAGCTCTATATGCTGGAAGTTTAACTGACTAGTGGGAACAGGCTTCTGTGTGGATGGTTTTCTTTTCTTCTGTGTTGGTGTTTTGCGGAATTGTGGAACAAAGTGGATTAGAGTGTGGTTGGGGGGAATTGAAGATTTTTCTGACAGAACAAGTTGAATTTGCTCTAGTACTGCAAAGCAGCTGTAAAGTTTATCGTGCAACACCTCTGGTCACCTGTGTTGTGCATGGTCATTTTTTTCCAGTTTAGTAGCCACAGGCATCTCTTTAAATTAACAATATCCACAGGTACGATGTGACTGGTGTATGTGGGGGCAATGAAACTCACCTTCACTTCTTTAAGTCAAAATTTCACTGGTTGTCTTTCTTTTCTTTTTGTTTTGTTTCAGGACTTGATTTCATTGGGGGTGAGGGGTCAAATTATCCCCGAAAATTTGACACTGCTCCTGGTACGATACATCCAGGTGCACTAACTGCCCCGGATACCTTTACTTTACAGCTTTTTAAAAAAACCCTGAAATATCTGTGGATATGTAATTCTCTCTCTCAGTTTGTTCATTTTAATGAATACTTGACATTTGTTCTGACTGTGCTTTTACTAATGCTGACACCTTGAATATAAATTGGGAGAGGCTAACCCCAACTCCAAATTTTAGCTTCAGCCACTGCTTCTTGGTGCCCAGAGCAGCTCCGTGTCCACAGTGCTGGTGACAGAGCATCCCACCCGAGGGCAGGAGGCTTGAGGCAGCTCAGTTGTATTCCCTTTGTCTTGCATCCTGAAAAGCTGTGACTTGCTGTCACCCCCATGCCATTCCTGCAGCCTCCCTGCTGTTCCTGCTCAGGGCCACAACTGCTGCAAGCGGAATGGGTCTGGTTAAACTCTCTCCGTGCTTTGCCTCTGCTCACAGCCACCGCTGGGTGAGCAGTGCCCAGTGGCTGCTCTGGCATGTTCCTGCTGCCCAGCTGCTTCTCCTCGCCTCCCTGCAGTTGAAGATGATGGCGGATTTTGAGGTGACAGGGGTGCTTGATGTTAAAGCTACTCAGTGCCTGGCCACTTTATTTTCTGTTCTTGCACCTTTATGCCTTATGAAGCCAAGAGACACCCATGAGATGATCCAGTTTGCTGAATCCCATTGGTGTCCATAACAAGGCCAACATCATGTTTGACTGTCTCCTCTATCTAACCTGAGGTCTTGAGACTAAAGAACCTTCCAGAGGAGTTTGCCACTTGACTCTTGAAGGTCAGGGCAGGAGGAGGAGTGTTGAGGCTGAGGAGTCTCTTTAGCAGGGGCCCAACTGGCAGGCAGACAGTGTCTCTTGGTTCTCACCTCAGGATTAATCTTTAACTTCCACGAGCAGCACAAGGCCATCTGCTCCAGAGCTGCCATTGTGGTTTTGCTGCCCTTTGGCTTTGTTTGGATTTACATTCCTCTGAGGTGCAGACTGGGGGCCTTTGAGTCTGTTGCCCTTCCAGGCTGAGGCAACAGGCCTGTATCCAGTTCCTGAGAGGCAGCAGACTGCCTGATGGGCTGTGGGAGGAGCAAGCTGGATGCTCATCTCCCAGTTTAAAATGAAGAGACTGTGTTTGAGGAGGGATGTGGACATCTTGGAGACACAATGGGATTTTTTTTTCCTTCACCACAGTCATATTGGCACATGTTGTTGGCTTAATTGTATTTTTTCCTCTCTTCCTGGTTTGAGGACCTTCAAGACCAGCAGCTCTTTGAAGGGCTTTCTGAAAGCAGAGAGGAGGGCTCGCTGTTCAGAAGACAACCTTTCTGAAATGGTGTTAGAAGGGTCAGAGTATTGCTTGTGTTGCAGTTCTCCTCTTCGGAAGAGCTCGATGGAGAGCAATACGCTTGGTTTCTTTAAAAAAAACTTCCCACTCTGTGCTGGCTGGGTGCTTTCTGGAGCATTCCTGGTCAATGCCTGGTTGTACATGGCAGTTCTTTGTTTTTCTATCTACCCCTTTGTATGCAGGGAGCACAAGCTGTGCTGAGTTGGTGTCCAGTACTGGAGTAGACTTGCTGGGAAAGCCCCGTCAATGGCTGCTCTTCATCTGCAGGGTTTCCTTCTACTTTTTGTGTTGCTTTGCTTTTCTTCTCAGTTTCCCCAAACAAGCAATACTTAAGAACCCTATGCTGTGCTCCTGCATGCACAAAATCTTCTTGGTGCAACTCTGTTGGCTTCCTGCTCTGTTGGCTACCTGCAGGTACATCCAGCTCCCTATTCCACCTCTCGGGTAAGGTTTGAGCTGGAAGGATCTTTCTGATCCATTAAAATCTGGACAGCAACCTTCCTGCTACTGCTGTAGCAGGAGGGCACAGAAAATCTGAGAAAGGGGGGAATCTGGGTTTTTAAACCCCAGATGTGTTTTGCATTGACTGTGTTGAACTCCTGATGCTTCTGGCTGGGAAGGAAGGGGTAGACTAGCGTGCCCTGAGATTCCTGGCACTCTGGGAAGTCATGTTTTATTAGTATCTCTATTTCAAACTTGAATATAAAAGAAAATAAATCCTGGAAGGCTTCTTGAATTGGCTCAACTTGTCAAGCAAAACAAAACAACAATGAAAAAATAATAATTCACTGATAAATACTTATTTCTTGCACTAAATTCCCCACTTCTAGACAGGCAGTCATTTAAATATGCAGTTAAAGTGTGTCCTGCAGAAGAATCCACAATGGTCTTCCCCGCATGCTATGTTTTATGCTCTAAAAGGCTTTCAGCCTATAAAAAGGCTGATGCCAACTTGTTCCGTCCCTGTAAGTGTCTCCAAGATTAACCCTGTTGGCCCTGTCATGTTTTGTTGATCTGGTTTGCGTGGACTGGAAACCAGCTGTGCAAAACAGGACTGGCTTTATGCTCTGAGGTTTTTGCAGATGTGAAATCTCCTGCTCTCCTCCCAAACCAAATTTCAGTTGTTAAATGGATTCAGAAGTTGCCACATAATGTTTGAAGTACAGAAGTTAAACTCTGTGATGGAAGCGAGGGTCAGAACAAGTTGAAGATGCAGTCAGGGAAAACTCTTTTTATTTTCTGGTAAATCTTACTTGCTTAAACTGTTCTGCGGATTGTGGCTGAGGTCTCCAGCTTTTCTCCCCAGTGCTTTGAGCATATCTCTGCAACTGGTCACAGAAAATGCAGGAATTGCTCAGTCCCTCAGATTTTCCCTTCTGAATCCCATTTGCATGTGCACAGGAGGTCCTGGTGCACTGAGGCTTCAAGACTTTTTTTTGGCTGGGGAGAGAAGATGAATCACGGGAATGCTCAGTTGTCCCTAGGTTTTATAGGAATGTAAGGTTTACCTGGGTGGTGAGATCCTGTGCCAGAGCTGGCAGGAAACCTGTGAGGGAGGTGCTCTGTCCAAGCTGCTGGGGTAACACTGACTGCTCCCAGGTGCACAAAGCTGTAGCTACTGCAGTACAAGGGGAAGTCAGGAAAATGGCACAAGGAGGCTGGGGATGGTGCTGGAGCTTCCTTGCTAAGCTCAGCTCCCCTGTTGGGTGTTGGGAGGTGTGTGTTGCCCTATCTGCCAGCCCAGCAGTCCCTCTCTTTCAGCTCAGCCTGGGGCAGCAAGGCAGAGGTGACCCTGTCATGGTACCTTGCCCAGGAAGCGTGGGTTGGGGTCTACTGCTTTAACTTGCTTGGTTGGCAAATAGAAATCCTCCTGGCTACCTGCAAAGCTCCCCAGTGCTTCTCCAGCTCTTGGAGGCAGAGCTTTGATGAATGCATAACTTCTGTACCTGTTGTTGTCCTTGTAGGTGCGTGGAGGGCAGCCACAGAAGAATGGGGCACGGAGGACTGGAATGAAGATGTAGGTACTCTCCAAACCCTTCTCCTCCGTGCATCTGCCAGCAGGCTGCTGTCCTGTCTGTACACAGAGCTCTAGGGGAGCTCAAAGCTCATCCTCCCCCAGACTATGGGCAGAACCCCAGTCAGGCTCCCAGTTCCAGGAGCTATGAGGAATAAGTAATCATCACAGCTTCAAAAAGATATGTGTAGTAGAGCTTGTCATAGGAGCCCAGGACAGAAGGGGATCTCCTAGGACCTTGAGGGTGGTCCTCTCATTTCCTGTAACTGTATGATGGAATTCTTCCAAAAACTGGCCTGACTCCACGCAGGACTCTTGCTCCGTCCCTCCAGTGGAGTGGCAGTTGGGGAAGGTTTGCCTTTGATCTCACCATGTGCCATGGAGGAGGCAGCAGTAGTTTCCTGCATGTCATGTGCCTCTGCTTGTCCTTGTGACTTGGATGGAACAGAAGCTTTTGACTTTCTGACTTGCTCTTTGGCGTGCCTTGCCACCTTTCATTCTCTACTTGATGTCTCCTTCAGGGGAGAATGGATGCTGTCAGCACCAGCTTTTAATGCCTCTATATCAGTTTCTTCTGAAGTGGGCTTCAGTCCCTCTCCAAATCAAGGGAGGACTTCTGTTATTGCAGATGGGAGCAGGGTTGAGCTTTTTTAGTATGATTGTTACTTTTGCATGCTCATTTTGGCTCAACCAACAGACTGGGCAAGGAGGGGAAGTGTTTGCTTTCTAGGCACTCTCTGAGGGAAGTGCTCCTGCTGTGTTTGGAGACAGGAGCAGTTTCTCTTTGTTCAGTCAGGTCTCTGCTAGAAGGGAGCCTTTGAGAGCCCTTCTTGCCTTCAGTGTGTATGAGATGCCCCCAGGGGTTCCGGGTTTAGTTTTTTAACTCTGGCGCTTTAGTTTCTGGTGGTTTCTCAGCCTGGAATAGAAGCTGTTCATGTTCAGGATATGTTCCAGGCTAAATCACAGGTGGTCACTAGCCTTCCTCTTCACCCATTCTTGAGCAATGTTATTTTCCCTTCCATAGTTGAAGTAGATCTGTTGGTCAGATCATCCAAGTGAGCCTGGATCATTGGAAGCTTAAGTGGGGGTCCAAAGTTTCTTCCTTTGGCTTCTGTACCAGTGCTTGCACCTATCTGTGCAGGGAGTTTGGCAGATCCTCGCTGCGTGCCATCGACTCAGAGCACCAGCCCAGGGCCCCAGGAACCCCAGTGGGTTTGTGGACTGTGGGAAATTTGTGGAAGTATTTTAGGTTTTTTTTTTTCACTGGCAGGTGATTTGTGCACTTGCCCGAGAAAAAAACAAATAAAAGCTGATTCTGATGGGAAGCAAATGCTAGGGAAGTTTAAGTCTAAACACTTGAATTTCTTGAGGTTTTTCTCTAACCTTTTGTCTCAAACATTCCTGTGCTTTATGTCACAGGCACTGTTCCAAGGCACTGTTCTCACTTTTGAATTCTTTTTCCCTTTTTTATCTTCCAGCTATCGGAGACAAAGATCTTCACTGCCTCCAACGTGTCTTCAGTGCCTCTGCCTGCTGAGAATGTGACAATCACAGCTGGACAAAGGTGAGTGCCCATGGCGATGCCATTTACCTGGGAAAAGTGGCACACAAGTCCTGGAGCAATTTCCCTTCTTTGACTAAACCTTGCCAGCTAGCTAAAATGCAGCAGCTCTGAACGAGATGAGGTGGATTTAAATGGAGAAGTTGAGTTAGTAATTTCTGGGTCCTAATCTTGGATTAGAGTTTTCCTAGGCTCTGCTGATGGTTCTTCAGGTTTGGGGGCATTTTGCTGTGTTAAATTAATGAAAAACATGATTTGAAATCAAAGGCTATGCAGGGTCTTGCTTCATCTCCCTCTCTCCTTTTGAGGTTGCTACTGGCAGTTTTCAGTTAATGTTCTGAAGGTTCCTTCAATTTGTGAAGTTAAAGGTGTGAGGCTGGAGGGGGAATTCTGCTGTAATGGAAGCGGAAGCTCATGGTAACCTTATTGAGTTATCCTCTTTCTCTTCGCAGGATCGATCTTGCAGTCCTGCTAGGAAAGACACCGTCTTCTATGGAGAACGAGTCAACGAACCTGGAGTCATCCCAGACTCCTTCTCTGGCCCAGCCACTGGTGTTCAGCAATTCCAAGCAGACTGCTCTGCCCCAGCCTGCCTCTGGAAACTCCTTCTCTCACCACAGCATGGTAAGGAAATGCTGGTCTCTGCCAGCGGAGATTTGATGGGGGTTGCTCATTCCCTGACATTCTCTGTCTGTTTGGGTAATGTGGGAAATGCAGTCCTGACACCTGCTTGCTGCTTGAGACTGGCAGAGCCAGATAATTTGCCAGTCTGCTTCAAATGCAGAGGCCTGAAGTTCATTGCTCAACTTGAAATAATTGGGATAATTCCCCCCCTGTTGCCCTTGTCTGATTTGCAACACATTTGCAACACATGCTTCTTTCCTGCTCAGAGGAAAGGAAAAACTCTTACAGTCCAGGGCTTGCAATTTCAACAATTTGAGAAGTGGAAGTGGTTGGGAACTGGTGTTGGATGGAACTGGGGGATGGAATGCTGGCCTCTAGTGGCAGGAGAGGGAAGGAGGCATTGAGTCAAGAGTCAGAGATGTGCAGGGACCTGGGCGGATGTTGCTTTGTGTAACTTAAGCAAAAAGAAATAAAAATTGTGCACTTACTGGTGAGGTAGTTGAGGAAGGATTTTCAAAACCACCTTAACATAGAGCCGAGATCTCCAGGTGTTTCTTTTTTAGTGCAACTGAATGCATGAGAATAATTGAGTACATTTTTAAGATTCTGTCTGTTAGCTTTCTTTGTAACCCTCTATGGCTGTACCATGCTATGAGTTGGGTGAGAGATGATCATGCCTGCACTCACACATGATGGAAGGCTGGGAGAGAAGCATGAGCCCTCTTTGCCAGCAGTGTGTGTGCTTTTGGAGCTCAGGAGTGTTAAGCTGAGGCACCCAGTGAGAAGCAGCGGGGTACAGTGCATTCAGGTTTATGTTAAGAGATGTACCTGTCCTCTGAGCCAAGTTCCAAGCCATGGGAGATGTTGACTTTGTTATCTCCTTGCTGAAATTGCAGGTGAGCATGCTGGGGAAAGGGTTTGGAGATGTCGGGGAGGCCAAAGGCAGCAGTACCACAGGGTCTCAGTTTCTGGAGCAGTTCAAGACAGCCCAGGCGTTGGCTCAGCTGGCAGCTCAGCACACCCAGCCTGCTGGGAGCACCACTGCTGCTTCCTGGGACATGGGATCCACCACGCAGACCTCGTCTCTGGTGCAGTACGGTAAGGAAAAGGAAAAGCAGCATGGCCCCCCTAGAGTGGGGAGAGTGTGTTCCCCCCGGGAACTGCAGAGGCAGCAGGGGAAGGGACTCAGCAGAGGAGGAGATCGCAAGTTTGCAGCCAAGCCAGCTGAGCTGGAGAAATGAATAGAACGGTGGGAGCAAGCTTGTGAGACCAAAATACAGTAGTGCATGTGAGTCTCTCCCTGTTCCTTTTATACTTGGAGCAGTTGAATCCATCATTCCAGCATGCTTCAAGGCCAGGGATCTGGCATTCCTGAGCCTCTCACAGTGTGCAGAACTACCTCCTAAGGTAAAGTTGTACCGGAAAAAGGCCTGAAAGGGCACTTCTGGAGAATAGGTCCTGAATACCAACACTTGTCAGTCTCCTCTCCCTGCTGACCTGATGTTACCTTCTAAGGGAATTCGACTTGCTGTTAAATGCCAAAAAGTAACTCTACCTCTGGGCTGGCCTGAGGGAATAAATAGGGATTGAGAGGCTCTTTTCAGATAAGGTGCAGAGCTCTGCTGTGGTCGAGTGCTAGTGCCATTTCCTTCAGCTTGTGCTTGTTGCAGGGAAATGGCTCTGGTTCAAATCTAAGCTGAAGAAAAATCGAGCCCTGTCCTAGTGACAGTGAGTGTTGACAGCTTCTGATCTTCTCAGACAAGAAGCCACAGAGGAGAGTTGGAGAGAATAGAAGCTGTTTTTTAATAAGCTGTGTAAAGGCTTAGCGGAAGGGGGAAGGTGGTGCAAAGACCTGAGGGTGGCAGCCCTGAGCAGTGATGTTGCTTGGAGATACCCAGTCCCTGCAGGGGAAGGAGCAGGCAATGGAATACTGGAATGCTGGTAGAAACCGGGAGGGGGGAGGAGGGGGGAGGAAGCGGCATCAGGCTGGTGCAGTGTCTCCACACAAGGGACTCTGGAGTTCAGCTTTTCTTGGAGAATGGAGGACTTCTGCCACGCAAGCTGATTTTGTCCTGTAGAGATGGTGGAAGGAGCCGAGGGGAGAAGAGCGGAGCTGAGGGGAGAAGAGCTTAAAAAGGCTTGGCAGTGGTGGTGGTGAGAGCACAAGGCTGGGAGTGGAGATGCTGGGGATCTCTGCTCTCTGATTTTAACAGGCTCCAGGATGACTCATAGTAGGAAACAAATTTATTTTTCTTGTTAAGTGTCAGAACTTGATTCAGTTTTAAGGCAACATACCCTGCTAACTCACCTCTGTCTCATCCCATAGATCTCAAGAACCCAACAGATTCTTCCGTGCATAGTCCCTTCACTAAGCGACAGGCCTTCACGTCAACCTCGACCATGATAGAAGTGTTTATGCAGGAGAAACAGCCTGTGGTGACGACCTCCACAACCACACCGGCACCCCCATCCTCTCCGCTGCCCAGCAAAACCAATCCTGTGCCCCAGATGTCCCCAGGGTCCTCGGATAACCAGTCCTCAAGTCCCCAGCCAGCACAGCAGAAGCTGAAGCAGCAGAAGAAAAAAGCATCATTAACATCAAAGGTGCGGATTGATGGTGGGGAAGGAGGTGTCAGATTGTGTTAGAGCTACAGAAGCATCCGTTTGGGCTGGTGAGGGAAGGTCTGGGGTTGCCGTTCCTGCTGTTAGCATGGGGTGTTTGTGGGGGTGATGGAGTTACACGCCAGCCTGGGTTGAACGGTGTAATTCAGAGGCTGCAAGCCTGTAACTGCCATTGTGTGCTGGGAAACATGGGCACTAAAAGCAGTTCTCTGTGCTGATCCCAGGGAATGACTGGGCCGTTCTGTTGTTCCTCCCTTGCAGATTCCTGCACTTGCGGTGGAAATGCCTGGCTCGGCGGATATCTCAGGGCTAAACCTGCAGTTTGGGGCGTTGCAGTTTGGTTCGGAGCCTGTTCTCGCTGAGTACGAGTCGACGCCCACAACCAGTGCTGCCGTTAGCCAGTCTCAGAGCAGCCTGTACACCAGCACGGCCAGGTGAGCGCCAGGAACCGTTAATCCAAGCAGGCAGCTTTGGAAGGTCGCTGATCCCATGGACTTGAGTTGTGCTGCATACTAGTAGACCCTTTCTGACTGTGCTATGGTCACAAAGGGGGGACAGTGTATGCAACAGCAAAGCGTAAGTTGCCAGCAGACTCATCGGGCAGCTCTGTGGCTGTTTCGGCCTGCGGCACTTGGACAGAAAGCGGAGTTATCCTGCTGCCCTTCAACTGTGTTGCTGGAAACACAGAAGGGGAATCCCCAGCGCAACTGCTCTGTGTCCCTGGTGAACGGATTGAGTGCTTTGTCCTGCTTTTTGCCTGGCAAACTAGGACACAGCGGGATAGGTGTATCTACGGCGCCTTGCCAAAGCGATGTGTCTCTGTCTTCTCTTGGGCTGACCCTCAGTAGCTGGCCAGTCTCTTAAGTGCTAGGCAGTGTGTGAGGCAGGGCTGTGGCTGGGTGCCAGCATCCTCCCGTGGTTGGGCTACCCCTGCTCTCTGGGCGCGTTTCTTGGCTCGGCTGCTTCATGCGGTGCCTTTATGCTGATGCTTGGTGCTCTTTATCTTGGATATTTTTTCTCCCCCCTTTGTAGTGAATCTTCATCCACGATTTCATCCAATCAAAGCCAGGAGTCTGGTTACCAGAGCGGCACAATACAGACAGCAACATTTACCTCCCAGAACAGCGCTCAGGGACCACTGTATGAACAGAGATCCACCCAGACGAGGCGATACCCAAATTCCATCTCCTCCTCGCCCCAAAAAGATCTGACCCAGGCTAAGGTAAGAGAACAGCTTTTATCACCTGTTGTGCTGAGTGAGCCTTGTGTGTGAAGCAGTGTCTCAGGGGAAGCTGAGTGGTTTATCAAGTGGTTCTCCAACCTCACTGTGCGGCTCATGAGCTCTCGTGAGAGCTCTCATCTGGCTGCTCCCAGAGCCCTCAGCTGTGCTACGTACCTGGGACTGGTGTCAAGTAGATTGCAAGGTGTGTGTTGTGTCTCACGCAGTTACCCTGCTAGAGAGGGGCGTGCTGGCAAAGGATTTAATTTCCTCTTAAAGATTTGGTTCTTGCATGCTGCCCACCAGTTCAGTAACATCAGGTTTGGCTAATGAACATGGGTTGAGGAGGTTGAGGTGGTCTTTACTAGCAGCAGCAGAGAAACTTCTCACACTAATTTCTCAAATATACACGTGGGGGTCGTGCTGTCATGGGGCTAGTTGACCTTGGAACTGACCCCAGCACAGTCTGGTGACATGTGTTGGTAGCAGGACCTTTTCTTAACTGAGGAGGGAGTGTGGGAGGGAGCTGACACGAGCTCTGCCTCTGGAAATGCACAGCTGTGATGCCCAGTACTCCTTTTTTCTCTTCTTTCTCAGAATGGTTTCAGTTCTGTACAGCCCACGCCGTTACAAACCACACAGGCCGTTGAAGGTAAGTGTCTGCCAGCACAGCAGGTGACCTGTGTCTCTTGTGCTGCTCATGTTCTCTGCTTCAGATGAGAAGCTTTATCTGTGCTAATAGCAGGTCCTTTCCCTGCTGGACTAATTGCTGCCATTTAGATTATTTGCTTGCCTTGGAACATTGAGCTTTCTGTTGATGGATCCATGAGATCCTTGATGAGTCACCAATGACAATAATTTATTCTGCTTTTTTTGTAGAAGACATCTGTAGGTCTTGAAGCTCTTTGTAGAGCCAATGGCAGTGTAAAATGAGACATAGAACACAATCACAAGTGTGTAACTGGTTGGCAGCAGTGAGGGAATCCCCAGATCTCCTGACTCCTTTGGCTGAGCATTTGCTGGTCCCTCTGGAAGTTGCCAGTAGCTGCCCCTAACCCAAAGCTTTTCTTTTCAGGTGCTACAGGCCCCGCAGTGAAATCCGATTCCCCCTCTGCTCCCAGTATCACACCTCTCAGTGATGGGGTGTCTGCGTCGTCCTTGCTGACAACAGCCAGCCAACACTCGACAGCTCTGAGCAGCCTGAGCCACAGCGAGGAGCTCCCCAGTACAACCACTGCCCAGCTCAGCAGGTGAGGAGCGTCGGGGGTGGATTTCTGGAGAAGCATAACTAGAAGCAGAAATCCATACTAGACATCAGAGACCGTCTCGTGCAGTGAGGAAGACTGAGATGACCCATCCCATCTGAGTAGATGGGGAATGGGATAGTGCCTCTAATAGTGACTCTCTCACCTTGGTTTGACAACCTTTTATTTCTCCTCCCGCAGTGCGTTGCCCACCCAGCAGAACAGTCTGTCCTCATCCACATCCTCTGGGCGAACATCAACTTCAACTCTCCTGGTGAGTCTGAGTGTGGTCTCGTGCTCTGTGCCCCGTTCCCACTTGGCTTGGCCAGGTTCTCTGGGGTGCCTGACCTTGGGGCTGTGGTTGTGACAGAACCTGCCAGGCTGCTGGCTGTCCTGCTGGAGTTTGGGTGCTGTGTGGAGAGAGGACGGGGGGTTATGTCAGAACACTGTCTGTGCACCTGTGGCTTGAGGCTGTTGACCCCCTGCTTGTCTCTGGCTGAGCAGTGGCTCTTTTGGGCCTATAGCAGCCCTTGAAAGCGCTACAGAGTCGCAGCCACATCAGAGCAAACTGGTAGCTGATGCAGTGCTGCCAAATGTCTCTGCTGCTGGAGCTCTCATAGTATGGAGTCCCTGGGTATCGGCTTCTGCAGCAGAATAAATCTCCCTGCCACAAATGTGGTGTCTTGCCCTGCTCCCCCCAGCAGAGAGATGTTGGGGCACGGCCCACAGGAGAGGCTTGAAAACATTAGGGGTCGGCTGCTGTCAGGACTTTGGACTTAAGCCAGGTGCAAAGCAGGTTTCCTTGTAGCCTGCAGCAGTTCCCTGCAGGAACACCCAGGTGCAGACACAGCGTGTGTTTTGCGTAGGCAGTGTCCTGTGGTACCTGTGCACTCTGCTCCACCTGCCTGGTCCCCTGACTCTCCTCCCTTCCTTCCCTAGCACACGAGTGTGGAGAGTGAAGCGAGCCTCCATTCTTCTGCTAGCACTTTCTCCACCTCCTCCAGCACGGTGTCGGCCGCGCCGCCGGTGGTCAGTGTTTCATCCAGCCTCAGCAGCGTCAGCAGCCTGGGCCTCAGCCTCAGCAGCAACTCCACGGTGACGGCCTCCACTCGAAGCTCTGTCGCAACAACATCAGGTACTTTCCTGGGTCCTGCTGTACAGGAGCTAAGAGAGTGAGTTTCTGCTGTTTGCTTTACTGTGGGACTTTCTCTTCCTTTGTCAGGAAAAGCCCCTCCTAATCTCCCTCCTGGAGTCCCACCGTTGTTGCCTAATCCATACATCATGGCTCCAGGGTTGCTACATGCCTATCCAGTGAGTAGAACAATTGCTTTATGGTAATGTCATGCCACCAGATCCCTCCCAGCTCCCTCTGCAGCAGGGAGGGATGCAGGATAGTGGGGAGACCAAAAACTGACATAGCTCGGTGGGGCTGCCTTGGACAGGTGGGGTTTGAACCTCCTGCTTTCCATGAAATCCACGTGCCTGTGGGTGTAAATGTCTGTCCTCGTGACCCCAGAGCAGAGTCTCTGTACCTATTCTCAGCAGCCTCCCCAGCCTTTGGGGAGCAGCAGCCCTTGGCAGAGCATGGTGCATGGGAGCATGGAGCTGTGTTAGAAACATGCTGTGACAAAGGGCAAACACAGTCAGGGCAAGGGTGGTGACTCCCACGAAGTCTAGGGGTGTGTCACAGCCCTCTCCTGAAGTTGAGGACAGATTTTGAGGAAAAACTGCTCAGGGGCTGTGTGGTCTGGAGCACTGTCCTTTGAGCAGCTCACAGGAACCCCCAGCAGCATCAGCCTGCATAGGGAGTGGCTGCCTGCACCTGGGGGGTCATGGGCTGCTGACCAGCTGCTTTTGGCTTTATCTCATGTTTATCTAAATGTTTAATCTAAAATTAGATAAGTGTCTTTATCTAGTCCATCTGCTGCTCTTTTTCTAGCCACAGGTGTACGGATACGATGACTTGCAAATGCTCCAGACGAGATTCCCATTGGTGAGTAGTGCAGAGTGACAGGGACACACCACTTCTGCTGGCTCTGAGTGCTGTGGGGTTATAGACAGGTCAGGCTGTGGGTAGTCCCAAAGAGCTGGAAAAATGGGGTGCTGGATGGCTGCACCTCTCTGTGACAGCCGTCAGAGTTAGTCAGTTGCTCCTTGACACGTGGGAATTTGGGTGCATGAGTTACTCATCAGCAGTATCTCTTGTGGGGCCAGGAAGCATGAGAACTACAGCAGCAGGGCTGTTGTAGAGATTCACCTCTGATCCTTGACTTAGGCAGTGACTAAATACTTCTTAGAATGGGCTTTACTTAGTGATAGGACGTGTCCATTTTCTTTTGAAGCAGAGGGGAAAGTCCAGGCAGTTTAAAGACTGCATACCAGTAGACCTTATCTGGTTCTTCTAATAGCCAGATCAGGGGGACGGTGCATGCTACAAAAACCTGGGGCTGCTGTAGGTCATGATCAGCCTGGATGTGGCTGGTTGAACTGTGGTACCCTGACATATCTTGCAGCTGCAGGACAGAAATTCCTCTATCCCAAAAGATACTGCTTTGCACCTTTAGACAGAGCTGATAAAATATCTCCATTTGTTTTTAATCATCAGGATTACTACAGCATCCCATTCCCCACGCCCACCACCCCGCTGACTGGAAGAGATGGCAGCCTGAGCAGCAATCCGTACTCTGGTAGGGAAAAAGTCTGCTCTAAATCCCATTCCATCAGGGTTTGTGCTGCTGCTGCTGGTGTCCTGTGCCTTTGTCTGCTGGAGCTACATCTGCGCCAGCCTCCTGCACTGCCTTTGGTTCGGAGCATGTCTCGCAGCTAAATTCTTGTCTTGTCCTTGGACATCTGGTTTTGTCAAGGCCTGTTACAGGGAAGAGGTGGGCGGGTAGGAGTTAGTGTGGCAGTTGGAAAGGGAGTGAGGGAGGGCTGAAAGATTCAGCAAGGAGTACAGCTGGGGAACCGCTTTCCAGGTGGTGGTGAGGCCAGCACTCAAGCACTGCGAGTGAAAATACAAAGAAGCACAAAATATGGAGAAATTAAGTTTTTTATCTATGGGACAGTCTTATCAAGAAAACCAGCGGGACATTTGGGACCTGTCAAACTTGAACCAAGCACTCAGCGGGTGCCTGACCGCTCACTGACCTTGGTAGATGCGTTTATGCACTGCCAACCTGCAGTGGGCAGTAACTGTGCTGAGTTTTCACATGCTTTAGGAATTGTTGCACTTTGAGGTTTGCTATTTTTCCAGCACTGATTCTCCCTGGCTTCAGCAGGAGCCAGTTTGTGTGGAAGTGCTTTTGCCCAGCTGAGGCTTAAATGCCAAGCTTGGAGTGTGGCCCCATGTGAGCTCTGAACTGGAGAGTTTTTGCGTAGAAGAACCAAGCGGGTGCTCATGAAGAGCAGCACAGGGAGCTTCCCCCAGCCCTGCAGCCAAGCCCTCCACAGCCCAGGCAGGGAACTGGGTTGTGTTCAGTCCTGCTGCTGGTGCACAGAGAGGGAGGAAGGAGAGCTGTAGCACCAGGCTCTGCTGCACAGGCAGCCAATAGCAGGTTTATCCAGTGCTGGATTGTGGGCTGACGTCAGGCAGTGCAGCACAGTAGCTGGGCTACTGTGGGCTTCCCTTCCCCCCGGTAGTCTTCTCAGGGCCAAGGAGTAATTAACAGCTTTGCCTTATCAGTGTGCAAAGGTCTGAGGGCTTGTGAGGGCAGCAGACTTTTGCAGTGGCAGGAGGGGGGGAACTGATTCAAGTAGCTGTTTATCAAAAGGCTGGGTCAGCTTTGGGCTGAGCTGGAACAGGCCAGGATCTGGCACTTGTGTTCTTCACTCTCACCTCCTCTATTTCAGGTGACTTAACAAAATTTGGCCGAGGTGATGCCTCTTCTCCTGCTCCTGCAACAACTCTGGCACAGCCTCAGCAGAGCCAGACCCAGACCCATCACACCACGCAGCAGACGTTCCTGAACCCGGCGCTGCCTCCTGGCTACAGTTACACCAGTCTGCCGTACTACACAGGGGTACCAGGGCTCCCAAGCACCTTCCAGTATGGGCCCGCCGTGTTCCCTGTGAGTTTCCTGGAGGCAAGGTGTGGGATTTGGGCAGGGGGGTGGCACAGCAAAGCCTCTCCTCACTCTGCTCCTCTCTGTTCTGTAGGTTGCTCCTACCTCTTCCAAGCAGCATGGTGTGAATGTCAGCGTCAACGCATCAGCGACCCCTTTCCAACAGCCCAGTGGCTACGGCTCTCATGGGTACAGCACTGGTAAGAGACCTGTTGGAGCACCTTCCGCAGTAGCAGGGCTTGTTCCCAGTCTCCCTGGCTGTGCTGGGGACTGCTGTCTTCCGGCAGTAAGGGAGGAGAATGCCTGGGGTGCCACTCTCATGTCATTCAATTATCCCTGGAAAGGCCCAGGATTGTTCTGCATCCACATCTGGAGCGGTTTTGGGAGATACAGAGCACTTCATGCCCTCCTCTGTGCCCCACAGTTGAGTGGCTGGGGCCTTGAACCCCTGTCAGAAGCTGAATTGTTTGGTTTTATTTGATTTGTTGGTTTTTTTAACTGCCTCTCTGTGATCAATAGAACAGCAATTATTCTGGATTTGAATTCATTTCCCACCAGTTTGGCAGACACTTTCTAGGGAGGTATCCTTGTGGTGGTTTGAAACTACCACGAATCTAATTTTTAAGTTCAAGCCCCCCTCCCACAGTTTGCCCCTGTGAGAGGGTTTAGTGATGGTATGGACTTGATATCTTTTTCACCTCATGTGGAGAGTTTCCAGACAAAACACAACCATTCGTTATTGGGGGAAGGGGAAAATATTTACAAAGGTTTATTTACACCCACATATATATTACATTAAATTAAATTTCTCCTTTTCTTCAATAAAAGTCCAAGAAGAAAAGAGAAAAGTCTTTCTGTCACTCCTCAGGCCACAGTTCCTTAATTTCATTTTTTTGTGGCACTGGTTAGTGTCCTTCATTTTCCTGAGGCAGCAGATTTAAGTATGGCAGTCAGGATTTTTGTTCTTACTTTGTGGAAATTCCAACCCCGAGCCCGAGCCTTCGGGGGATTTCCTTGTAGATCTTCACTCCTCTTGGGTTAGAACATTGAAGGCAGCTTTCAGTTCAGTCTTACCAAAGCTCTTCTGCTCTCTCTCGGCTCGCCAGCGTGATAGAAGCAGCAGCAGCAGCAGAGGGCACGGCCACCTCCTCCGCATTCCGTCCTGGCTCAGCTCTCAGGACGACTCCGGGTTTTTTAGCTCCTTTCTCTCTCTCTCTCGCTGCTGCTGCATTTCGGGACTCCCTAAGGGTTTGGAAGTCCACCCCTCCTCTTCAGGAAGTCTCTGGGTTTTGGGAAAGTAATACAGTCTTACCCCAAACCAGCTCTGTTGAGTTTTCCTCTGTTTTGTTGCCGGCTCTCCCTCCTGCAGGAACATCTCTGCGTCTTTCAGCCGGCTTCACGTTATCTCGCTGCTACTGGCTATCTTTTTGGCTTTTAGCCATCGCTGTCTCTGTTCAGGACTGCTCCGCTGCTGCTTTTCAATGTCTTCTGCTGCTGCTGACAGTAAGGAAACTCTTCCAGCTCTTGATTACGGGACCCGGTCCAGCTTTGACACTATACCGGGTCTCCCGTAGCCTCAGCTGGGGGCCCTTGGCCCCCAGAGGGGCTCACTGGCCCCCTGCGTCCTCCTGCATCAGATCATGGCTACCTACCTTCTAAACTATCTTCACCACCTTCTCTTCCGTTTCTGTGGGCATGTAATTTCCGTAGGGCGCACGTGGACTATCGATTGGTCCAGTATTATCAGTGGGGCAAACCATTACTACCTCAGAGAAAAGGTGGTTTTTCAAACCACCACAATCCTTGATTCAAAGATGCAGGAAGGTTGTGAACCTGCCGCCTGTCTTGGTACTGGTTTCACTGGTTGGCCTCCGGCTGACTTACACAGGGGTGCATTTGGGTCCCTCTTCCAGCCTTTAAATTCCCCTTGTCCTTCTTTTCACTACATTAGAGCCCTTCAAGATACTGTTTTCTCTTTGTGAAGGTCCTTCAGCTTTGTACCAGGTCATCTTGTGCTGAGCCCTTCAAACCTCCTTGATTTCAGCCCTTTTTCTGCACCTTAAATGGTCACTGAGTTCTCCTCTGGGCCACCCTGTTTTACAGACAGCCCTGTGCAGGTTGTGTTGGCAGTCACTGCACCAACTATCCCAGCCCACAGCCGAGTTGCCTTTACGTGCAATTGCCTGTTATACACATGAGGAGCTCTCAGGCTGTTCTTGCTGCCGTGTTCCATGCTGGGGGTTTGTTTCCGTGTCTCTGTGCTGCATTCCCCAGCTCTCCTCAGAGCTGCTGTTTTCTGTGTGTTTCTCTGTGTGTTTTTCCAGCCCCTCGCTTGCTTTCTGGACTCGTGTCCAGAGCAGAAGAACTTAAATTTGTATGGGCGCTTTGCTCATGGCCATGCCAGGACCCTGCTCCCCAGGCGGATCTGTCTTTAGACCTCCCCTGGCCACCAGAGCTCTCCACCAGGTGCTGCTGGTTGTCAGCAGCTCCTGCTGAAACGGTGGCTGCTGCCTAACGCTCTCCTGCCTCTCCCTCCTCTGCAGGTGTATCCGTGACATCCAGTAATACAGGCGTGCCGGACATCTCGGGCTCTGTCTACTCCAAAACTCAGGTTAGTGTCTGTGAGTGCTCCCTGCGTGGCTCCGGAGGGGAACTGAGCTCTGAGACAGCCTCCCTGTGCAATAAAGGTCTCTTCCCCTTGGATTGGTCAGCCAGGGAGAAGGGAGATGCTTGACCTTCCCCAGTTTAGAGCAATTCTAAGCCCAGAAAGAGCCATAGGAAGAGACTCTATCCATTCTCTGCATCGCACACTGACTCTGGGCCCACGACGTGTAGAGCTGGGGAGGGGCACGCTGCCAACCTGGCTCCCAGCCCTTACTCCACTGTTGGCATCCCCTCCTCAGCAATCCTTCGAGAAGCAGGGATTTCACACTGGAACCCCGGCAGCCTCCTTCAACCTGCCTTCGGCACTGGGCAGTGGTGGACCCATCAACCCTGCGACGGCGGCGGCGTATCCCCCCACCCCCTTCATGCACATCCTGACCCCGCATCAGCAGCCGCACTCGCAGATCCTCCACCACCACCTGCAGCAGGACGGGCAGGTGAGCGATGCCCCCGGCGCTCCAGCCCCTCGCTGGGGTATCTCCTAGGGCTCTTCCTCCCCCTCCAGCCTCTGCCCCTTCCCCCCCCTCCATGTCCTGCAGCGGACGCACGCAGTGACACACGCGGTGACACACACGCACACTCACACCTGCACATACACACAGAGAGGTGAGAGGATGAGGTGAGGACACACCCGGGGTGTGCTCTGCTGGGGGGGTACTTGGCACAACCCCCCATGCTGCCAGGCTGCACTAGGAATGGCCAGGTAGTGCCCCCTCACGCAGACACACCCGGGGCGTCCCGATCTCCCCCGTCCTCAGAGGGGAGCCCCACAGGCCAAGCAGCAAAGGGGTCACTTGCCACAGCCACGACCCTGCCGGAGCTTTCAGGTCTAACCGTGGATTTCTACTGTCATAGTTTGTCCCTTTATTTTACATATCCTGGTACTGCAACAGCTTCCATATTTGCAGATGATACTGTGCTGCCAACGCCAGCAGGAAGATCAGGTAATGAACTCTCTGATAATGCATTGCACTTGCCCTGGGGTCTCCCCCTGCCCCTAAGGCTGCCCAGGCTCAAGTAGCCTCTTCCTTCTCCCCCGTGGCCGCACAAGGTGAGGACAGAGGCCCTCAGTCGGTACGTGCACACACACACACCCACGTGCAGACACACACGTTCCTGCGCTGACCCTTCCCCGCTCCCTGCTGCCCCTGGCCCTGTGTGCTGCTGCCCTGGAGGAAGGCATGGAGCAGAGGGAGGGTGCTGGGGCTGCCGGGGCACAAACAAGACAGCCCCCGTGCCCCAGCACTGGGAGCTCGGCTGGGCGGAGGCGGAGCAGCGGACGCCGAGGAGCCGCCGTGGCCGCAGTGCCTGGCAGGGCTGAGGCATCGTCCTGCAGAGTGGGCTGGGGCCGGTTCCCCCCCACACTCACCACCCGCTTCTCCTTCTGCCCCTTCCTGCAGAGCGGCTCCGGGCAGCGCAGCCAAGGCAGCTCCATCCCCCAGAAATCCCAGGCCAACAAATCCGCCTACAACAGCTACAGCTGGGGTGCCAACTGAGGCCGGGCCCCCCCCACCACCACTTTGCTTCCGGAAGAGAATCCCAGCTACCCCGATGATGCCGAAGGATCCCAGGGAGGAGAGAGCCCTGTGGTGGGGAGCGCCCAGGCCCCCAACCCCGGCAGGGCCCTGCAGGGCAGGCCGCAGGCGCCTCTGCGTTGTCTGTCTTCAGCCACTTTCCTGTTGTATGTAATATAGAATTTGTATTTTTTCTTTTTTTTTTTTCCTTTTTTTTTCTCTCTGCATTCAGATCTGAACCGTTTGCCGTAGGGGCCTTTTTTGGTTTTTACTCCTTTCTGTCCCCTCTCCCCTCCTGCTGCCCCAGAACCTCTCAGATCCAAAGGAGTGGAAGCTGCGAGTCGCCTACAGCAAACCCCCTTATTATTAGGAATAAGACCAGTAATTGATATGAGCAGCATTGTAAGATTAATTAGTTGAAGTGTTTTTTTTGTACCGTGTTCTAAATTTAATGGATAAATGTGTCTTGTATATAAAAACAAAAACCCCATGCCGTCCTCTAGTTCTCTCATTTCCTCCCCCCTCAACTGCTGTCTGACAAGCCCCCCCCCCCAGCCCCACCCCCCCCCCCCGGATGTTACATTCTCCCATCTGCGCGCCGCCCCCCCCCCCCACCCCCCCCCCCACCCACCCACCCCCCCCCCGGGCCCTGAGTGCAGGTCCTGCTCCCCTTGCACGCTTGGTAATTAATCTCATTCTCTTCTGCTTTTGGGTTGGGTTTTTTCTTTTTTTTTTTTTTTTTTTCTATGCAGTCCAGATCTTGTATTTTTCGGTTCCACCTGGTCCCTTCAGCTGCAGTCCCAAGCAGGGATTTACTGAAGAGAATAAAGATCACAAAGTGATGTGTGTATTTTTTCCACCTTTCAGCCTGGTTCCCTATTTTTGGTGCAGGGGGTGGGAGGCCCTGGATGGGCGGGGTTGGCAACGCTTCCCCTACCTCTCCCCACCGTCTTGCTGGTTTGTGGGGTTTTTTTGTCCCCTCGTTTTGTGGATTTTTTTTCCCCGGCTGCAGCTCTGGGCAGCAGCAGGATCCCAGCGTAGGGACAATGTCAGAGTCCTTCTCCCCGAGATTCCCACCTTCCACTTTTTCCCTTCCACTGCTCCTCTCGGAGCTTGGGGGCTCCACCCCAGCCCCCACGTCGGGCTCGAGACAGGCTCAGCTGTCACGGAGGGGAGTCTCGGGCGCTGGGGAGGGCAGTGGGACCATGAGGGTGGCAGGAAGGCCCGGGTGTCCCGGCAGTGGCTGCTGAGCTCTGCATGGTTAAGGGGCCGAGGGCTCGGGGGGGGGGGGCAAAGCCGGAGCTCCCCGTGCTGTGGGTCCCAGTGGGGCAGCAGGAGGGCATTGGGCTGGGCCGGCGGAGCTCAGCTGGGGGCACAACGCAGGGCCGCAGGACGCCAGAGGTGCAGGATGGAGCCCCCGCTGCCCCCGGGCCCGGCCGGGGAGACACGGGACCAGCCCCGCAAAGCGCCTCACGACACCCGGCGGCGCTTTGCGGCCGCGGCGCTTTGCGGCCGCGCGACCCCGGGGCCTGGGGCACCGGGAGGGCCCGGGAGCGGGATGAGCTTCTACGACGCCTTTCGCGGCTTCTTCGGGTTCCCGGGGCGGCGCAGGTACCGCAAGC